TTTTGACAATATTAGACAGTGGCAGACACAATGTCCTTGCCCCACAAAACAGAAGAAGCCAGTTTCTTCCTCCTTCTCAATACTGATCTTTATCTGTGTTTGCAAAAATAATAACGTATTAACACATTTCACATTTTAAATGTGTGTTGTGTGTGCATATGTTTAATTTGTGTGTATTCAGGTTTACTGGACAGTGAAGTCAAAGAAACACAGCTGAGTTGATTTTTCTGAGAGATTTTTTTTATGAGCTTGTCAGGGACAACAATATTTAACATGATTGCAATCACATCGTGACAACACTGACCACTTGAGAAATAAACCGACAGTGAAAAAAAGAGGGGAAAAAAGAGACAAAATCAGAAAGAACACACCGAGGTGTTAAGTGAAGTGTGTTTCCAAACACGTATGTCTTTACCCTTGCTCTAGGGGCCGTAGAGTTTATCTGTGTGTTTCTGCATATTTTTGAGCTTTTACATCGGTTTGAAAAGAGCATGTATGAATGTGAGGAAAACGAGAGAGACAGAAGATTTGAAACATGAGGCTCATTAGTGAAAGCAGTGGTACCACACATATATATACACAAGCTGTCTGAGTGTGAGCATTTGATTGCTGTCAAACAGCATACAAGGTCATCGCCTTATTATCACCCTTCCTTCTCTTGGGCACATATACTCAGTAGTTCTATTTTCACTCTCTCTTGCCTCTTTTTCTCTTTTCAGTTTTTCTCACAGTCATTTTTTTTCATTGTCTTTCAATTTTATAATAGCCTTGTTTTTTTCTCTTACATTTGGATATTATGTCCCGCTTTGACTCTGAGTTTCTCTCACTCTGATTTTCTCTTCTACAGTTTTTCCCAGAATTAAATGTTAATTCTATAGTTTACATGCAAGATTGTGTGGATTTTGTTTGTTCATAAATTAATTTCAGAATGCTTTTCTTTTTTTTAAGAAAATGTTTTTTCATTCTCAATCTTGTTTTGCAATCTTTTTCATTCATCCTTCTGTAACCTCTCTAATCATTCACATCTAACAAGAAATGAAGACAAGTTAGATCATGTATATTGTATTGTGAAATGAAGAGTATATATTACATATTTTAACTGACTGACACCTGGCATCTGGAGTCTGACACCAAATGCTTGAGATATAGTGAGCTTCAAGATCACAGTTTCCTCTGTTGTCACGATTTGTTCCCGTCTTTCTAAACCTTTACTTCTGCCATTTCTTTCTTTTTTTTTTATCTTTGTCATTCTTTGTTTCATTTTATCTGATTGTTTTTTACCATGGGCTCAGTTTCCCTGCAGGTGGAGTGACAGCACCTAGGCAAATGCAGTTTTTATGCAGTTTTTCTGGGGTGCAAGTTTGCACCTGATTTGCACCAAACAAAAATTTTTGTACTGATATGTGAGCCTGTGTTGATGCTGGTTAGCACACAGTTTAATTCCTTTAGAAGTGGCTAGAATTATGGCACATTACAGATCATCAGGAAGTTGGCAGCATAATAACCTAGGATGATTCTGACTTATGATTCTACCTGCTGACTGCTTTTTAGGATAAGAGCCCTACCCAGTTTAAAGTCTAAAAACAAATCAGAAGTGTCTTTGTCTCCATATTATTGAGTGATTTATAAACTATCAGTATCACCTTTTGTTAGAGCTCTGGCAGCAATGTTTTGAATGAACTCAAGCTAACTTTTTTGGAAGGCCAGACAAAAAAACCATTCGAGTCAACCCTACTTTGGATAAAGACATGAAGTAGTTTATCTAAATTTTGTCTGGTCATCTGTCTGCTACCTTCAGCTGTTCCCGTTAGGGGTCGCCACACTGACTACTCGCATGTTGGAATTTGACACATTTTATATTGGATGCCCTTTTTGACACAACCCTGAATCGGGCCCAGGCCACAGTGGTGAGAGCACTAAATCCTAGCATCTAATCCATCAGGGACCTCTTAAATTACGTATGTCTGGTCATAAGTCTTGATATTTGTTTAAGATGATAACTGTCATAAAGGTGGAAGATGGTGCCACTGATGGTTGCCTCAGTTCACTCTCTTATGCTTTCACTGTTTCTGTTTATTTGTCCCGCCTTTTGCATCTCCAATATGATAACTTTAAGAAGTGAAAAGTTAATCACCCAATAGTCCACTCCACACAGTTTGGTGCCAATCGAGATCTTGGTTACAGGAGCATTAGGTCTCTATGAGGCTTGACGAAGACTCGGGCAAGGAAAGCGCACCGGTGTACTGGTTCGATTAATCAGTGGAGACTTCAAACTCTGCTCCCATCCATTCACCAGATGAATCTTCATTCTTTAGTCAGCAAAATAGATGAGCTGCTACTCATCAAGAGGACAAACAGGACTTTTCACATTTGATTGCCTTGTGCTTCACTGAAACTTGGTTTGGTGTGTCCACCCCAGACAGCTCATTACAGCTGCCTGGTTTCCCTCTCCACAGAACAGACCACATAATGGAGCTATTGAGGAAAACAAGAGGAGGTTGAATCAGCTGTTAAATAAATAAGGGTTGGTGTACAGATGTGCCTGTGTTACAGAAACTGTGAAGTCCAAACTTACAAACTGCAAACCTTTTTTCTCACCATGAGTTCTCCTCCTTTATTCTGGTTGGTGTTTACATCCCACCTCAGGCCTCATTAACAGTGCGGTGATACAATACCTGGCTGAGTGAGCAAACCTCAGCCATGAACTGCCAACAAACATAACAAATTAAGAGCCCCAACTGGAATACAAACACACTGGACCACTGTTATACTACATTAAAGGACACTTATTGCTTTGCCTTCCATGCAACTTTGGGACTCTCTGATCACAATTTGGTTCCTTTTCTCCCAGCTTACAGGCAGAAACTAAATTATGCAAAGCCTGTGGTCAAAACTGTGAGAAGGTGGACTAACTAGGCAAAGCTGGAGGTAAAGGCCTGCTTTGACTGCACTAATTGGATTGTTTTTGAGGTTGTATCTACAGAGACCTTGTACATCAGTTTATGTGAGGATATGTATATGTCTAAGACTAAAATATTACTAAAATATTCTCCACTTTCAAAAACAACAAGCCCCGGTTCACAGTTAAACTCAGGCAGCTCTGTCAAGCCAAGGAGGAGGCCTGCAGAAGTGAGGACACAGTCCTGCATAACCAGGCCAGAAACACACTGGAAATCATAGCTGAAAAGCTAAAAAAAAAAAAGGTTTTCAGCTAATGGCCCTGCATCAATGTTGAGAGGCCTGCAGGACATCATCAACTACAAAAAACCAGCCCCCCACACTGTAAAAAAAACCATCAACTAGCTGATTGTCTGAATGTATTTTACCGCATATTTGATAAACCCAAAGTATGCCTTACATGCTCCATTTCAGACATCACACAACCAACTTGGCATATGCAATGACCTCACCCCTCCCCACTGACCCCCCACCAGCACTCAGGATCTGTGAGGAGGATGTGTGTTGGCTCTTTCAGAGACAGAAAATCAGGGCAACAATGGCCTCAGGTGTTTGTGTGTGGAGATTTTGCTTGTGTGTCTGTGCCCTGTTTCAGGAGAATAGAGCCCTATATTTGTTTTTATATCTCTTGCCCTTTCAGTAGAGATGACCAAAGCAAGCAGAAGGAACTAATCAACATACTTTGAATGTGTGAATACTGATGAAGCGTGTGTGTTTGTATGCATGTATGTGAATATGTGGTTTGCATGTGCACGAGTGTGTCACAGCTGACCATCAAAGCTAGTGATGTCGCCTGTCTGTGAAGAGGCATCTGGTATTCCATCTGACAAGAAGGAAGATTTGCCTGTGTGTGTGCGTTTGTGTGTACTCATATGTTATGTCATTAAGTGTTACAGTAGCATGCATGTGTCTGTGTTTGTACAGTGCATGTCATTACAACTGATTGCATCATTGTGTACTATAAATACAAACAAGTTTTTCTACCAACTCGTGTGTACATACAGTTTTGTATGTCAACTGTGTATCTCTGCATATGCTAAGAGTGTATTTACCATATGTGTGTGTGTTCAACACCACACAGTGTGCGATAAAAGATGCACTGGTGGGACAGCTGGCTTTCTGCCTGGACCAACAAGCTAATTAATTTCCTCAGCTATCACAAGTATCAGGTAGATTGTAGACTTGCATTCCAGAATAACGGAGTAGGTGGATTTCTCAAAAATGATAAAAAAGGAGTAATTTTTGTCCCACGGTGCCAGTCATGGTGTACCTCCACACTTCATTTGTAATGTGCCAGTGCAATATAAAGATCTGGCTGAAGTCAGTATCATTATGTGGTAGGTTAAAAAGCATTTGTTATTAGGCTGTTTTAAGTTCTGAAGCCAACCAGAAGGTCAGGCTTAAACTGTAATGACCTCAAAAAATACAACCAAATGTATTTCCTGTGATATTGCTGTAAGGTTAATGAAACCATTTGCTTTAAATTTCCATAAAAAAAACATGCTTATAATTGTCATGCAGAAAGTTTACATTGATTGGGAATGAAGAAGAGAAAAAGCAAAGTGTAAGACAGAGCTGTTCTCACTTAGCTGTGCTGAAGAACACATTTGACAGGTTAACAGAAAGGTTATTAAAGAGGCATGAATCAAACAGTGTAAACTGTATTCTGTAGCATGATACACCTTCAATAATTAACTGAAGACCTGTCATATACTGATAATCATTAACTGTATTTTGTATAAATTTGTTCATGTCCTGAAATTAAGCAGAATTATGATTTACCTACATCTAAGCATTACATTTGTGTAGAGCTTTTCATGGCAGACATTTTCACTTGTCAAAGCAAGAGAAGCACAGGTGTAAATAACATTAGTGATGGCTCCATAACATTAGATGTCCCAGTAATCCTTATGAATGTGTGAGCATGCACCATACTTGAGCACTGGAATTGGCTTATACCCACTGTAAATGAAATACAATACAATGTTATTGTTATTAATTCCACTTAATGTGTGTTTATTTCTGTGTGCCTGTAAGTGCAGGTGTGCTGTGGAACCTGTCATCATGCGATGCTCTGAAAATGCCAATTATCCAGGACGCCCTGGCCGTTCTAACCAACAGTGTCATCATACCCCATTCTAACTGGGACTCCTCCTCCAATCATCTTGAGGACCACAAGCTCCAACTTCATACTTCCCAGGTGCTGCGCAATGCTACTGGCTGCCTCAGGTAAGGCCACCACAATAGGCAATCCAGTCAGGGAATATGCAAAGATTTAAAGATTGAAATATTACAACTTTGTAAATTACTGTGTTTATATGACTTGTCAGAAATTGGAGAAATTAAGGCAACGCTGATTAACTGTTTGTCACAAATAAATTGGACTTGTCACATGACAAGTTACAATATGTTTCCGAAACATAAAAAGTGATTACTTTCAATGTGCATAGTACAATGTACTATGCACTATACTGTTGGGGTCATCTCATGACGTACTTAGTACCTTTCCTCTCTTCATTCTCCATGCATATGCCACCATTGCATGTCATTAACTTAGTGACTTTCTCCTGTAGTTTGTGCGCTCTCTCTCTGTCTCTCCCTCTACCTTTCTGCAGGTATCCCTGGCTCAGGGGTTTTATGTTACTAATGAGCATTTACTAGTCCTAGTAACCTGCTTAGTGTTTGTCTGTTGTTCTTTGATGCTCATCTTTTCCTTCTCCTCTATCCTCTCACCGCGTCCGGTTGATGCAGAAGGCTGCCCACCAGGAGCCAGGGTCTGTCCGTGGTTTCTCCTGTTAAAAGGAGATTTACCTTCCAACTGTTGACAAGTGCTTGCTCAAGGGGATTTGTTGTTTTTCTCTGTAGTACTGTAAGGTCTTGATGTTACAATGTAAAGTACCTTGATGTTACCCCTACACCTAACCTACCACCCACCTCCTGACCCTCTCCAGTATATATAAATAATGCACTGATAGATAAATGGATATAGCCAAAGTAATTTGAGGGATCTCATTATTTAAATGTTGTGTGTTTAATGTTGTTCATGATACAAATGCAAACCAAATGTAATTTAATATAGGACTATGGTCATTTTGCCAGTAGACGTTTTACTGTTATGTCACATTTATTATTTCCTAACTCGCGAAAGTGTTTCTAAGACTTGTGTGTGTGCGTGTAGGAGAAGATAAATGATTGTCAGTGAACTGCTAAGTTTCAGATCAAAGCTGGTTAAGGAGAAGGAGAACAGGGAGCAGAGGTGAAGAAAGCTAAAAGTTGAAGAGATTAGAACAGGGAGAATGTTGGCATGGAGAACAGGGAGAAGGGTAAACTAACATGATCTCAAAGAAGGGACACAGAGAGTAATGAAGGTGTTTCTGCTGCCGTCTAGGGTTATTGTCTTTCTGTCTGGGGTCAAAGTGACACAAGGCCACAGTGTTCAGGTTTGAGTATACCACAGCGTAATTTCAGACCTCTAACTTCTCTTATTATCTTCTTGTTGTGTGTGCTTGTGTATATGTGTATGTGAACTTGCATACAGGTGGGTACTGTATATGTACACTATAGTACCTATGTGTGAGTGGGTATTGGTGTATGTGTGTGTGGTTGCACATGTGTGCACATGTAAGCACTCACACATTTGTGCACATTGAAAAGCAAAGCCATTAAACTGAATCAGTCTCAGAAATCACAGCCAGTATGAGGCACAGCCAGTTGCGTATGATAATGGGAATGACCTGGTGCCAGGGCATCAGGTGTTTCAATTATGGGTGTGTGCTAGTGTGTGAATGTGTGTATTTTCATGTGTGTGTTCATATGTGCATAGATTAAATGATAGCCAAACAGCTAATGTTGCTGGTGGACCCATATGTTGTCTAATCAAGTTGTCAGCTTCAAGGGTCCATCATTATTCACACATATGTACACACATTTATGTATTTTTAGGCCATATGCAAGGTCTCCTGTGGAGGGGTTTCCATATCCTCCAGGATGACTGTTGATTCACAGTCAAGCCAGAGAGAAAAACCCACATGCAGCTTTCACACTGTTTTGTATGTGTTTCTGTACTTATCAGGATCACACATTCTCACTCCAAATTTGCTTCCTTTCCGATAGCTACAGTTGTGGTTGAGTGATAGAATTAGATGAATAAAGAATAAGGGCCGTGTGATCACAAATCAAGTTGTTTCCATATTTATTTCATTGATATGAATTGGTTTCTATGCATGTGTGTGCCATCCGGTCATGACCCTATTCTGCCTGTGGCCTCTCTCACACCTCACACACATAAACACATCATCAGACTTGTGTGGAGCCGCTTCACACCAGCTGTTTGGTGGTTCTGATCACTCTGTGGTCATTTGTTCCTTGAGCAGCATTAGGGAGCCATCTGTCCAACATTCACCCATGTTCAGTTCTTTCCTCTACATGTTGCATGAAGGTCCATGCAAATAAAACTGTGGAAAGTGACTAAGGTATGATTTGTACAGTGACTATCATCTAATTTCCTGCTACGTCATTGAAAAGAAAGTCCGTATTAAATGCAAAATGTATAACCTGTCTAATACCTTTTAACAAATGCAGTTAGCTGAAAACACGTCAGCTTCAGCAGATACAAAGGAGCTTGTTAGCAAACTTTCTCACTTATGTTTAGGTGCTACTTTTCAGAAAATATCAGTGTTGTTAACAATTGATTACGAGTCATACTGTAATACGCCTAAGGGTGTTTTTACTGATTATATACAGTATATTTTGGTACCATGGGAACTTTTTGCAATATCATTAGCAACAGTAATTACAGCAAAACATTGTCTGCAACAGTGGAAACTGCTTGGGCTAATGATTCACCATTTAAAAAAAAAAAAAAAACTACTATCTACTCAACATGTTAAAACAACTATGCCAATTTCAGATTATATTTTTTTGTGTTATGGACTAAGTTAATCTAAAGAGATTGGAGGTGGAATGGGTCCTGATGCTAGACAGAAAATACTTGAGGGAAGACAGAAAATGAGGGAGACAGAGATGCGCAGCGGAAAAGTCAAACCAGAGACATTGCGGTTCATGGTTGGCACCTAAACACTTAAGCAACAGGGGTACAGATGTACATAATAATACGTCTTCTACTGTAACAATCAAAATGGGTACTAGTTTTAAATATTAAAAAAAAAAAATTCATGGCACAGCTTAACACACACACATACACTATA